TTTACTTGTGAAGTCTTAAGCAAAAAAGTGACTTTGTCACCATTAATTAGCTGCAACTCGCTGCTTTCAGCAATCACATCAAATTTTCTTTTCATTCGGGAATTTTCTTGTTCTTCCTGCAAACTGTTTGCAAGATTCTGGCAAAAATCTAAAAGAAGTAGCTTAAATTATTTTATTATTTTTTTTTTATTTATATATAATATACATTATTTTCATATCTCAGTCAGACAGAGGTGCCTGGTATGAGAGATGATGAAAACAGTTTTCATATTCTATATATACATTTTATTAATATAATATCTATTAAAATTAAAATATCTCTATCTTTATATAACTCTTCAGTCTTCTTTGTCTTCAATTTCCTTATAGTATTTCTTTATTTTTCTTTTAAATTTATCGTCATCATTGGTCATCCTAATATCGTTTGGCAATTCATTATAAATTTTACTAGCGCTCAATATGAAATTTCCTCTCAACTTCTTCTTTCTATTGTGTTTAATGTTTTCATTTATTATCAGTCCTAAGTATTTTATGCTTTCCACTTCTATTTCTCTATTATTTACTTTAATATTTAGTTTAGTGTTCTTGGTATTTTTTCTATGTTTGAAATATATGTATTTTATTTTATCGACGTCAATTGTTAGTTTATTTTCAGTTAGCCACTCAATGTATGTTTTCATGTCCGTGTTTATAGTATCTTCGAGTCTTTTTTTATTCTTATCTGCATATACTATGGCAGTATCGTCTGCATATAATATGTATCTTCCTTTTAATTTTGCGTCTTTAAGGTTATTGGTATATAATAGATATAATTAAGGTCCTAATACAGAACCTTGTGGGACTCCACAGGTTATGTTACATCCTCCACTTGTGAAATTTCCCACATTTGTCCTTACCACTCTTTTCATGAGGAAATCTTTGATAATGCTGTAAGACAAACCCTCTACACCCAAATCTATTAGTTTATTGAGTAATATGCCATGATCTACTGTGTCGAAAGCTTTTTGTAAGTCAATAAAAATTGCAGCTGTATGTATATTTTCTTCAAGGTGCTGACTGATGGTATTAGTCAAATCTATTAGGGCACCTTGTGTATTTGATGAAGGGAGGAAACCATATTGATGTTTATCTATTTTTTAAATGAGCAAATTGTAATTTAATTTTATATATATATATATATATATATATATACACACACCTAAGTCTGTTTTTACAAGGTCTTTTTGTACACGGTTTTGATATAACACGGTTTGAAAATTGAATATTTTTAATTTTTTTACACGATTTTATTCCATTTAGCACGATTTGAAATTTTATGTACTTAATTTTTTTTTGTCAAATTTAATTTTTGCGAAGTATGTTCAAATCACAAAAAAGTATTTATGAAAGAAAAAAGTCTGAAACCATCGATAGTATTGATAGTTTGCGAACACTAGCTTAAAGATTTAAGTGAATCCCCTAAAATATATATAATTTATATATATATATATATATATATATATATATATATAAATAAATATGAATTCTTGTTCTTAAAAATTCTTGTTTTTCACTAATTTTAATAGGTTTTAGGGATTAGGAACAAATCACCCATTTTTGTATAAGATTAATGTCTTTTTTTACACGGCTTCTTCTGGAACCAATCTACCGTGTAAAAACAGACTTAGGTGTATATATATATATATATATATATATATATATATATATATATATATATAGAAATAAAACAATGTTATTCAAAGTGGATCTTGATATAAAATTAAGCAGTTACAGATACTACGATACTACTGAAGTTAAATAATACCTGTGTAATACTGGAGATATAAGTTCTGGGTCCATCCGTCCAACGTCTTGCTTTCCAGTAATCAGACTGACGATTAGACCAACAATTAAAACCGTCAAAATACCTATGGGACTTACCCAATGGTACGATAACCGGTATAAAAAGAACACATCGGATTCATCTATTTGTAGCTGAAAATAAAATAATCGTTTCTTAAATTCGAATAAATTTTTAGGTATCACAATTCTCACCTGGTCCATATTGCTGGTCAATTTCAACCACTCTGCAGTGCCGTTACCAAGCAACCCGTCACAACCATCCAAAGAAGTCCTCAGCCACTTTTCCTTGACAAGCCCTTCGGCCAATTTAGCCCTTGACCCGAAAGCAACCCAGGCACTCATCAGGGCTCCTGCCACTGACCCTGTGATGGCACCACAAGGGTTCGACCAGGGCACCAGAGCGCCCAGGGCAAAAAGACCAAAAGTGGTTCCGGCTGCTATAGAACTCAGGGTACTGGCCAACTAGGGGAATACAATGCCAAATGATTATATTTAATTATTAAATTCCCTAAGGAGAAGTTTATGTTTTCATCAAAAAATCCGATTTGCTAATTTTATGTTTTCTCAACGTTTCAAACCATTCTGAATCGAATGAGACCAAATTTACGGAAAAAGTATGTGTGTGTGTGCATCAACAGATTTTTTGCCGTAAATCGACGTTTTCTCAAAAACAGTTGGACCGATTTCAAAAATTTAAAACCCATTCGATGTATCTCGATAAGGACTATTGTTTGTCAGTTTTGTGCGACGATCGGCCAAGCCGTTTCTTAATAAATAGCAGAAAAATGAAAAATTTTTCGTCCACGTTTTAGCCCGCAATTCTGAATCGATTTTGAAAATTCAAAAACCGTTCGAAAGATATTGGTTGGGAATCGTGCTGATTAGTTTTTGGTAAAGATCGGCCGGGTCGTTTTCTTGTAATAAAATGTTTGAAAAAAATTTTTCGACGATTTTTATAATTAACTTAAGGGTAAGTTATTGTAATAGTCCAAAAATCCAAATTGAAATCTTTTACATTTCTCGACGTTTTGAAGGTTTCTGAACATTTTGGCATACTTCAGAAAAAATGGATGTGTGTGTGTGTGTGTGTGTGTATGTATGGATACAATTTTTCGTCCACGTTTTCGGGCGCACGGATCAACCGATTTGAATGGTTTAAAAAACATTAGATTCCTATTGATAAGGAGGCTGATTAGTTTTTGGCAAAGGCAGGTCCAGCCGTTACGGAGATATGGAGCAAAGAGTGCAGAAAATAGAAATCGAGTTTTTGAGAGAACGGATCATCTGATTTGTATGATTCAACAAAAATTCAGTTCGTAATGACGGGGAAAAGTGGTTATTAGTTTTTGGCTTAGGTAAGCCCAGCGGTTTCGAAGATACAGTGCTAAATGTTAAAAAAATAGCAGTTTTTGAGAGAACTAAGCGTCCGATTTAAATGATTGAAAGAACTTTCTGCTTGTTTCAACAAAATAATTGCGTTTGAAAAAAAAGTGTTTCTAATTTTTTTTTCAAAAAATATTTTTGTAGTTATGGTTTAAAAACTCAAAAAATTATCCAGGCTAAGCACAGTCTAAGCGCCACTTTGGTACAAATGTTTACCCAGGTGCGTTTAGACTTTTCCAATTTTGTGAAGAAAAAAAAAACTATTGAAAAATGTGAAAATGCCGCCAAGCTAAGCACAGTATAAGTGAAAATGTCGCACAGAATTATTTGCAAATGCGTTTAGACTACGGGAGCACTTTTTCAATTTTGTTCTATTGTAAATTAGGCAACTATTTTTTTTTGAAATTGAATTCAAAATGAAATGACGATTGTTAATGTTCTGAAGATAAATTGATTTATGATTCACATTTGATTTGTTCAGATATATATAACAAGATAGCAAAAATAATGAAAGTTACTGTATTTGTATTAATATATTTGAAAACATTTAAAATTTCTCGAATATTTCATTACGGTACGTCAAGTTCCAGCAATTTGCCTTAACGCACGATGCCATACGCCACTAGTTTATTTTTTGTTGATTAAGACGATTATTTAAACATATCGGGAAATTCATGCAACTTGCCTCAAGGCAAAACACCAATGCCAACTAATTTTAATTTGGAGTTATTAATTGATTATCTCACACTGAGTACTCCTCCAAGATGCTCCACCAGATAGACACTGGCAACCGCCGCCGCTCCCAAGAAACAGGCGCACGCCCTCAAGGCGGTCACTCCGAGCATGTCGTTGTGTTTTCTACGAGAGGCACTCAATGAATTCGTAGAAGTCGATGCCACATTGCGAGCCAGTAGGCCACAACATCCCCTCGACAGATCACGAAGCAACACTCCGGAGGTGCAATGCAAGATCACCGATAGCGAACTAAAAAAAATTAAATTTAATTAAAAAATGTAAGGTAAAATTCCAACATGTATTCAGTATTCACCTCACCTCAAAGCTGCACCAAAAACTCCAGCTACGAACAGACCAGCTGCTCCAGGAATGTTTTTGGTGACCTGCATCACGTAAACAGGCAACATCTGATCGTCAGCCTTCACCAGACCAGAACCCAAAGGGTCACAAGAACCCAATTCTGCAAATACTAGAAGACCAGTGTAGCAGCACAGGGAAATAAGGATCGCTATGCCGAAAGCAAACAGGTACACCGATCTGGAAAACAAAATAAACGATTCAATTTTTGAAGAAAAACTTCTTTAGGCGCGATGGATGTAAATCCGTACAAATGCAACGGAAATTGTTACGCCAAGCTGAAGTGAGAGTCAGTCGCTCTCGATGATATGATTTCTATACGGGACTTTATACGTGCGTACGTCACCGAAAGCGTGAAGCATATTGTCCAAATTTCCGGTGTTATATCGAAACATTTTATGGTTAAATAGTGGATAAATCGTGAGTTAATAAAAATATCAGGATTGGAATAATATTTTATCCCGTCCCTTATAAATAATTGTAGTGCAAATAATCGCAAATAATGAAACATATGAAAAATCTGCGCTGCGTAAGAAATGTAAGTTTATTGAAGTAATTTGTATTATTCGAGTTTTTCGAGGTTACTATATAATACCTTTGAGGTTATTACTAAATATAATAATAAATATAAATATGAATATAAATATAAATAAAAATAAAAATATAAATATAAATATAAATATAAATACTAGTTATTACTAAAATGGAAAATATTTTTACAAAAGACAGATACTACAGTTGCTCAAAGAATGAAATTGTATCGCCAGCGAAATAGTCAAAAAACAAGCAGTCAATAATCGTATGTTAATTTCAATTACATGAATTTCTACAAACACAATTACATGATAAGTGAAATTGTGAAAACAATATTTCTTCATTGGAAATTTAGGGAAAGTTTACATGTTTCTCTTTTATGATAGCTATGAAGACTAATTTTAATTTATTATAATAGTAATTATAAATATTGATGCAGGTTCAAAGCCTCTTACAAACTCTAAAAGATCAAGATTACATCGTCAAACAAAACAACGGTAGGAAAATAATCGGTTTCTGCCAATTTATTAGAAAATCTTGAGCCAGGTATCAATTTAGATGTTAATAATAATAATGTCTTTTTTGCTATTTGACTCCTGAAAAACGCTTCAACTATTCACATTTAAACATATTATTCTGTTATCTTTTTAGATGAAAGTATTGCTGTAACTTTTTCTGATACACCAACTACATCACTTCGATTGCAAATTAATAATTCTGTTTATAATGTGACAAGAACTGATCTTTTGCAAGAGTCAAATGAAGTATTTGAACTTCCATATAAAGACTTCCATTTGTTTAGGAATGCACGAAAATTGTTTGAAAAACAATTTACAAATGATAGCTTTGGCTATGTGTGCTTTGTGTGTGATCGACTTTGGTTTCAAAGTGACTTAAAAATATCAAATGATGCTCAAAAACAAATTCTTAATAATGGTTTTCTGAATATTGATTCAAATAATCAGGTTGGATGTCAAACTTGTCGAAAGGTATTCAATTCGGGTAAAATTCCCACTTTGTGTAAATTTAACGGGTTTGTATTTCCACCTATACCAAATTATCTACCTAAACTAGATACTGTATCTGAAAGGTTAATTTCACCTAGGTTGTGTTTCATGCAAATGGACAATTTGGAATATTTGACCAAATTATAAATGTGCCTGTTGACGTTAATAATATGGTTAATTTATTACCTCGTAATATTGATAATGATCATTGCATTAACGTTCACATAAAACAGAAAATGATTCATAGATCAAGCTATGTGCAGGGCTTGATAAATAAAACAAATATAAAAGTATGGCTTCAATTTTGTAGGCAAGACAGATCAAAGAATGAGATTATATCGCCGGCGAAAAAGTAAAATAAAATACAAGCAGTCAATGAATGTATGTTAATTTTAATTACATGAAGTTCTGCAAACACAATTATAACATGATGAGTGAAGTTACGAAAACAATATTTGTTTAGGCGTTGTTTAACATAATCCACTGTGTGAACGAATATTATAGAATTTATTAATCAACAATTACTTTAAACCGATCATGTCATATTTCAAGTATGACCTTGATTACATTATTGTTTTTAAATATTATACATATTTTTAATGTTATTATAAATATATAATTTATAATTTATCATTGCATAAATATGTATAATAATTGACGACACTAATAAATGTGTGCATCACGAGTGTTACCATATTACTAATAAACAATATTCAAAATTGTTATATGGTGTATTTATTTTTTACTTAACTTAAATTTGCAACTTTGTACAGTAGCAATTAAGTTGTTCTTCAATCGCGTGTGATCCTTACGCGCACTCTTTTTTTTATATATAGTTTTATACTTTTACTTACATTTTAGAGTGTCTTAAGGTGGGTAAAGACATATATCTCTGAACCATAGTCTGATTGACTGAATTAAAAGATGTCCAGTAGAAAAATCCTCCAATGATTACTGACCAAAACGTATGACGCTCATAAGGACTAGGATCAAAACTACAAAAATAAATAAATAAATCAGATTAATCAATATTAATCAGATTAAATTTAAATCAGATTAGCAATATTAAAACAGATTTAATTTAATAAAAGTTGCCATAATTATAAACTCACTTGAATATTTGTAACCTGTCGCCTTTATCGGCTTTGGCGAAGACTTCAGAAAATCCTCCCAGATGAATTGATCCCAAAATGCAAACGAAAAGAACCGAAACGAACATTATTAGTGTTTGCCATGTGTCTGACCACACGACCGCCTTCAAACCACCCTGGAAATGATAGTTTTTTTTAAAAAAAGTTTAGTTTTTTATCAAAATATTAATTATGTCAATAATTTCTCACCATAACTGTATAGAAAATGCAAACGACACAAACTATGGTAGCAATCACATGGACGTCGACACCGGTGACTGGAAAACAAAGAAACTCAAAATGCATTATATGACCTATAGTATAAATTTTAGGCATAACTTTTTCTCATCTAATTTGATTACCTTGATTAAAAGCTAAAGCTGGCACATATATAACAATTGGTAGAAACAAGAGCTGGAAAAAATAATAAATTTATAATAAATTGCATTCGAGTTACTTTAATATTAGGTTGTCAAATATCTCCCTTCCGCTTTTTTGCTCTTGGTTTATAATACAAAAAGGCGGAAGGGAGATATTTGACAACCTTATATGTGCATATTTAGTTACCTCGTCTATGACAAACATGACGGATGCTATCGTCCTCACAAACGGATTAAATCTCATTTCTAAATACTAAAAATTGTACATTATTTAAAAAATCACAAAGTGAAAATCACAAATATCTACTATTTCTACAAATACCTCATAGGAACTCTGAACTTGCAACTTGCAGAACATCGGAAGAAAAACATTGGCCACCACTAGACTCATCAGAGCGATTGGCACCACTATTATCCAATATTGGGTTCCGTATCGAAATATCTCCGAAGGCGTACCCAAAATCGTTACACCAGACACATAACTAGAGAGAGATAGAATTGTGAATATTTCACCAAAAATTTTGATATTTTTTTTCCTTTACCTGGCGACGAGAGAGGCAGCCACTGGCAGAGGCCTAAAATTGGAGTTTCCATTCAGAAACTCTTCTGTTCTTTTATTGCTGTTTTGCTGATTGTTTTCATCAGATTCATCCCCTGATTTCCTACATCCGTAATACAACCCTGTCAGGGCCGAAACGAACAGGGCCAGGCCAAAAACACAATAATCGATCGTGGTGAAATGGAAATCTGGCGAGGAATCATCCATTGTAATAAATATCTAAAAAGATAATAATCAATTAGGAAATAAACTGACTTTATTCAGATGATCTCGAAGTCGTTTTGAAATACATTTGAGAAGTATTCAATATTTTTATTGATTTATAAAATAGATTATAGAAATAAATCTATAACGATTGCCTAGTTAAATCTTATCTTTAGGAAAAGTACCACTGAGTTCGGCTTATGATTAATTATAATTCTCCTATTTAATTACTCATTAGCGGTATCTAAATAATAAATCAACTCTTATATCGTTTTACATGTCATAAATCACAGACAAAAGTTGTACAATAATAATAAATAATATGTTAAAAAATGTAGGTACTAATATAAATTACATACAATAGTTTAAAACAAAAATTCACAATAATATGACAAATTGTTAACTTCCCGTAGAGTAGTTATAGTAATGGGCCGAAAATCAAAAATCAAACTTTTTGCAATATCTCAACGTTTTGAAGGTTTCTGAACATTTTAAGGCATACCTCAGAAAAAATGGATGTGTGTGTGTGTTTTGTATGTCCGCATATTTTCGTCCACGTTTTCGGGCGCACGGATCAACCGATTTGAATGGTTTAAAAAACATTCGAGCAAAGAGTGCAGAAAATAGAAATTTGAGAGAAGTTTTCGAGTTTTTGAGAGAACGGATCATCCGATTTGTATGATCCAAAAAACATTCAGTTCGTAATGACGGGGAAAAGTGGCTATTAGTTTTTGGTAAAGGTAGGCATAGCGGTTTCGAAGATACAGAGCTAAATTTAAAACGTAAAGATAGATAAAAATCTTCATTTTCGATTTTTTGCGATTACTATAACTTGCCCTACGGCAAGTTAAAAAGTATAGGATAGGATACTAAAAAATTTGGAACTTGAATTGTAGACGTGGGTACAGAGCAACGTCTGTTGGGTAATCTAGTGTATATATATATATATATATATATATATATATATATATATAAATATATGTTCATACTAAAATCTCTAAATTTTTATCAATCTCGAAGGATTTCATTATTATCATCAACGAAATCATGATCGTTCTCGATCGATCGCTGATATCAGCTGAAATTGTTATCAGTTTCTAATTCGACTGACGCTCGTATGTTTTTCCTTTCTTCATACATAATAATAATAATGATTAAAATCATGATGATGATGTATAATGCTGATGTAAATCTTAATGTGGGCCCAAAGTCCACATTAGTCGGTCATTTTACGATGACTTTATCGACGATACAAATAATAGCGTAATACGGAACTTTGAAATTATATCACAAAAATACTGACACGTGATAACTTGTTTATAAACTAGTGGTGTATGGCATCGTGCCTTAAGACAAATTGCTGGAACTTCCCGTACCGTTTACCAGGACATGCAAAACACACACACATATTCATTAGTTTTCTGAGGTATGGCAGTAAAATGTTGAGAAACCTTCATGCAAAACATTTTATTTTCGATTTTCGGCCCATTACTATAACTACCCTACGGGAAGTTAATAATATTACTTAATAAGTAGCTGATTATTTCAAAATGACGATTTCGCTGGTTAGCACTGAGTCTCGAGATTTAAGAATAAAATTTTAACACTTGTAACAATTGTAGGTAAAATCTTAATTTCTATTGATGGTAGGGAAATGCACTTGCCTTAAGGCAAAATAAAATTCATGCCTAGGTTAGAATAAATATAATAATCTTACCGATTTTATCCTTCTCGTGTGCCTTATCTTTATCTTAATCTTTATCAATCAATAAAAGTTTTCCTCTCAATGGGCCAATTAACGGCACGAAATCGTAACAGTATGATAATTAATATTATTAACTATTGTTTTTAAATTGCCTGTGACATGTTATTACAACAACGATTAAACATCGATGTTTAATTAATTCAAATTTATTCTAGGAATAACACTACATTCTCTTATCGATCGACTTTGAATAATATTATTAATTGCTCCCCGTATAGCAAATTGCATTATCATTGCAAATATGCACGTGCATTATTAAATAAAAAGAAGCAGTATTAAATAATATCGAAAATAAATCAGATATTATTTACAATTCTGACTAAAGTTCTAATATACTTTAAACAAATAATTTCAACTTTCAATTTATAAATAATGCTTATAAATATAAGACAATGTTACAATATTTATAATAATCTATTTGAAAACATTTAATATTTCTCGACTTATGATTTCGTTACGGTACGGGAAGTTCCAGCAATTTGCCTTAAGGCACGATGCTATACACCCCACTAGTTTTTCACTCGGATCGAATAAATCTTTTCTACATCGCTGGGAATTAGTAATATTATTCAGGTGTTAGTTTAAGAATTTTATACAAATAATTATGGCATAATCGAACTGTAAAAACGTCATATGGGGCATAATATATACATATAAACCATTAGCAAAAAAATCTCAACTTGTGTAAATTAGAAATACCGTTAATAGATAGACTCGTATATCTTTTTTCTTGATATTTTTTTGATTTTATAATAAATCAGAAATAGTATCCACTTCTTTCGTCAATCTTGGGCTTGCAGTCATTTAGTTCTTGAATTTGTGGTCCGATAATATTTTTATAAAATTGAAAATGAGTGAATTTTGACAAAAAATATATGGGTGCTAGTTCTACTTGATAAATAGTTTTTTAATACGCATTTAAGGGGCCCAACTAGTGTAAAATTTTCAAAAAAGCGAATTTTCAATTTTTCCATATTTCGATAGGTTAAACCTTTAAAAATAACATCAAAATTTTCAATCGATATCTTAAATAGTTTTTGAATTACAGCTATTTAAAGAGTATATGTGTAGTATATAGTATAACGATCATTTTATCTTTAAACGCATTTTTATCGAAACAGCTTTTTGCAAATTTGCTGCAGCAAAAACTCAAAAACAAATGATCCGATTACTATCAAATTATTTTTACATGTTCTACATATAGTTCTCCGTAAAATGCACTATCGATTTTTTGATCGGATCAAAAATCGAATTTTGGCAGTTCAAAAACGACCAAAATTTTGGTTAAAATTAGACTTAAAAAAAAAAGCCGTCATTTTGTCAATTTTTGATTTTTTTTCTTTATCGTAGTTCATTTTACAGCCAATATTATCTAGTTTAATGGGATTTTTTTTTTAAATTTCATCCACGTGGAAGGCCGGAATCACTGCAGCAGTTAAGGGCCTTTTTCTGTCACGCCGTTGGAGATCGACGATAACTTAAAAAATATTTAATTTTTTTCTTCAAAAATTTTACTATTTATTCTTAAAACATGTATAAATATATTCCTAAAATTTTGAAATGATTAATATAGTAGTTTTTTTAATATAAATTCCCAAAAATCACCTTTTTTGAGGCGGTTACACTAGTTGTGCCCCTGAGGCGTACATGATGTTTATTTTAAGCCCATGCCCACTATTCTAAATTTTTACAACTACAATTTGACTACATATCATACATAGTGTAAAATAATAAAATAACTGTAATTATAATTAAAGGAATCAATTTACTATTTGTAAGCAAAACTCCACTTATACTATTCTACTATAAATATTTAAATTAAATTGAAATTGTCGCTTGGAAATATAACTGTCACATTTAACTACTGCCGATAGGTAGGTATAAATTTATGGATGACAGTATGTAAATATACAACTATTTATATCATATATATATATATATATATATATATATATATATATATATAAATGTATATATCGATCTATATACCTGTGGTCAGGTATGCAGATAGACGTATTGATATGAAATGTTGACATACGCGGAACAAAAACTATTTCAAATAATCTGCATTCCATTTCTATATTAGTTTAGTTCAGAATGTTTTCATCTAAAAACCGGTCCACACATAATACATATATAAATACATAAATACGGGTATAATTAATTTTGAGAGCCGCAAATTTAACTAAATTATTATTCAATTTTAATTATTAAATAAATATGGATAGAGTTATGGAATTTGTATCAAAGATTCGATTAATATACTCCTCCTAAACGATTATTCGGATTTTGATAAATCTTTCTGAAGGGAATTTTATATGATTATAAAAGTATAGTTAAAACAGCATATCATTGTTTGACATTGAATACGTTTCGACACACGAGAGTGTCATCTGCCAAAAATGTCGATTTACTTGAGATTTGAATTTAGTTTAAGCGAGCCTAGACAATATTAGTATATAATATTCATATTCATGATTATGAATAAGAAAAATTTAATATCTGCAATATTATTGCCGAAAACCAGCTGAGATGTGCCAAAAATTAAAATAATATAAGATACAATGCAATATATGTTTGGCAGATAAAATTATATAATTCAGTTTAAATAAATAACACAATATGCCCAAAAATGCATGCACATTATTTTTTTAAACTTATGCATGTTGTATTTTGCTTTACTTTTCTAAAAGAATATTTGTACTTATTGAACAATGTTTTAGAATTTTGTTTCATGTGTCAAAAATTCATTGAACAGTGCCATATGAACTAGATTTTACAAAATAATTCACCTAAGATTTTAACTAAAGTAATAATGTTTAGTCAAAATGTTCAAAAACCTTCAAAACGTGAAGAAATGTACAAGTTTTCAATTTTGATTTTTGGACGATTACAATAACTTATCCTACGGGAAGTTAAAAATAGCAGAAATATTCGAAATAAAACTTATTTTTAAATAACTTAAAAATCCTTTGAGATGGGTTTCATTATCTTCATGATAAAGATAATTATTTATTGAAAAAAAAACAAAATGAAAACGTTAAGTTTAATATAAATAGTTTTGGTTTATATATTTATATATATATATATATATATATATATATATATATATATATATATATATATGTGTATATGAATATATGTTTTTAAATAGATTCCAATTGGATTTGATTAACTTATCCATTGTGTCTGCAAATGAATTGCAGACAATCGTATATATATATATATATATATATATATATACAAGAATTTTCAAGATATATGATTAACCTCAGAAAATGAATCTATATTTTTCTTTCTTATTTCTTATATCATCCATTATATATGCTAATAGACATATGCAATTTTCAACTGTGTTTTAAAGTACTACTGCTTGATATCAAACTGGCCGAGTTATATATACCTATTATATGATAATAAATAAACATATGCAATTTATTAATTTTGCAACACTATTTCATTATTATTGCATTGCTTGATATCAAGCTGGTCGAAATGGGCATCAAAACCATTAACGTCTTTGGAGTGCCAATAAACGATATTCGAAGTAAAGACTAAAAATACAAAATTTATTCAAAAATTGAACTTCGGTCAAACGAATGTGACTTTAGGAATAAATTAATATGTATAAATATATATATACATACATACTTGTATATTTATATACATAAATATATGATTCACAAGAGAAAAATGACCAGGTTCGCCAATAAATTGCATAAGTTTTATTTACATCGAAGGAAAAATCGTACAATAATAAATGAAATATATATATATATATATATATATATACATTTATCAGAACAAAAAAGTCCTTCCTTTCATATTTCTTCTGTTAATGCAATTGCAGAAATCCATTCTATTGATTTATCGATAAATTTATTATTAGTTATATTTTTATCAATATAACCTTGCTCTGATTTGAGATTTATAGTGAATAAAATATAGATAAAATTTACTATCAAAAATAAAAAAAACTCTTGTTTTTGTCCATCCAATTTCCTAACTATTTCTAAACTAGCAGTGTATGGCTTTAAGACAATTTGCTGGAACTTCCTGTATCATAATGAAATATTAGAAGAATAAAATTTAGCAGAAAATAAAATTGTTACCCTAAAATCAATCGTTTCGTAAAAACGAACAGAAAGTTTTCTGAATCATTCAAATGGGATGCTTAGTTCTCTCAAAAACTGCCATTTTTTGCACATCTAGCTTCGTATTTCCAAAACGGCTGGACCCGCCTTTTCCAAAAACTAATCACCTTTTCTACTCATCATTACGAATTAAATGTTTTTTAGATCATTCAAATCGGATGATCCGTTCACTCAAAAACTCGATTTCTATTTTCTCCACTCTTTGCTCCGAAACGGCTGGAGCTGCCTTTGCCAAAAACTAATCACCACTGCTCCACATCAGTAGGAATCGATTTTTTTTTGAACCAATGAAATCGGTTAAACGGTGCTTTCGAAATCGTCAACAGAAAAATTTGTATCCGCACACACACATCATTTTTTTAAAAGTTTGCCAAAAGTTCAGAAACCTTTAAAACGTGAAGAAATGCAATAATTTTGAATTTCGATTTTTGGACAGTTACAATAACTTAACCTACGGGAAGTTTATGAATTGAAATAATTTTTTATTAGTGGAAAATGAATAATTATTTTACATAACTTAACTAAAAAATTCGCATTAATATTCCAATAACGTAATGTCTGTAAAATTCCTATAAGTAATAAAATCATACAAAAAATAAACAAAAAAATAACAAAATATTGCTCACTTACAATTATTTTACTAAATACTAGTATTATAATGAAAATTTATATTATTTTACAATATCGAAAATATCATTTTCCAAATTTTTTCCAAATTTTCAGATAATTTATCAAAGACTTTGATAGCCCAATTTTTTTAGAATTATTTATTTTTTAACAAATATAAAACGATAGTAAATCGTTTATAATTATTATGAATCATTACAAATATAAATACATAGTAACAAAAAGTTATTCGAATATTATTAATATATGTAATTTCAAAAATAAATAATAATAAATACCAAAATAACTTTCTATTTGTTTATATTGAAGAAATGCTTATGCTGATCCAAATTATGGAATCAAAATATTAAAAGTATGTAAACTTATAATATTTGTGATACTAGCAATTTTTTTTTATAAAATCATTAAAAATCTTTCAAATAACAAACATTCAATAAAACAAATTTTAATAAAACTGTTATTTTAATATTTTCATAAGATTTTGAAATCAAACAGAAATGTGTATATGAATTTCCACTAATCAATTTTGGAATAAAAAATCGATAGATGTTGTGAGAAGAAAATATTTTGAACAAAACACATATTTTTTAATATAATTTAATTTATTCATAAGCAAGCCGTAATCAATAATAATAGATATTATTTCAGGCTCTTGTCAAGCTTAATTTGATTTGATTTTCATTTGAAAATGATAACTAATTTATTTTTTATTTTTGATCCCATAACTTCAAATAATTTATCCTTAAATTGAATTAGAACTATATTAGGATTATTATTTATTCCAAATATATTTTGAATAATTCCATCTCGATATAATATAATTTGATTAAAAATTATTCTAGCATTTCATAATGAATTTAAATTACTTATAAAGTTTATTCCTATAGGAAGAACTTTTACATTTATTAGCTTATTTTTATTTTCATATAAAAATCGACTAAAGTTAAATTTAATCTTAATTATCATTTTTACAAATTTTCTTAAAAAAAATCAAACAAAATTTATTTTTTTTTTACATTTTGAAGAAACATTCACATTACTTCTAAATTTTTTTTGAAAACAAAAACTTTATATATGTTTGGAATCAAACATATATAAATACCGACTAGTTAAATTTGATAACAAATAATATTTTTCCAATTTTTCAAAAGAAAAAAAATTAAACAAATCCATATATGTGCATGTAAACAAAGTAAACTAGTAAACTAAAATTTTTATAAAAACAATTTTTTATTACTTATTTTGAACGACCGACAAAATTTCCGGCTAGTTGAATTTAACAAGAATAAATATTTTTAAATATTTCCAATTTCCACTAACCTTTTATCCGGTCATGTAGAACAAAATTAAACAAATTTAATCATAACATACACTTTAAAATTAAATAAATAAATTAATTTCACTCTCACACAAAGAAACTATTGAACTATCTCAAAAAAGAACTTAGAGCGAACTGTTTGAGATTTATTAACTGTTAAAACAAACCATGAATGTTATGTATTCTGATTGACACCAACACAACTAAGACAGAATTTATAATAATAAAATTCATAAAAGAAAAATAAAATAATTTCAATATAATTTTGTATACCATACATAACAAAATGTATATTAAATTTCGTTAACTTTTACAATTTTTATTTATCAATTTCTATTATTATTATTAAGTGGGCCAACACGTACGTACATAACCTCAACTCAAAGGAATTGTAAAATGGTTCGATTTGAATAATGTTTTATTGATGTCCATTGTTAGTTTTGTTTGTTGTATAAATATATTGGCAGAGTTTTTATTGATATGTGATTGTTAATAATTATTTTGTTTATTTCAATTTTGGATGCATGTGTGTATATGTGTGTGTGTTGAGAGGAGACTTTGCACTTTGCCAATGATGGTTCTGATACCAGATGATGGTTGTGGCTGAAGATAAGAAATTATTTTGGAAATTTGATAGATGTGGTTGCGATTTATGGTTTCATATACATTTATCACAAACTTAGTGAACTTATTCAATTTAAGGCTAAAAACTAGTGGGGTGTATGGCATCGTGCCTTAAGGCAAAATGCTGGAACTTCCCGTACTGTAATGAAATATTCGAGAAATTTTAAACGTTTTTAAAAAATACTGTAACTTTCATTACTTTTGCTATCTTGTTATATCTGAGCAAATCAAATGTAAATCATAAATCATAAATCAATTTATCTCCAGAACCAATAGTTGCCTAATTTACACAAAATTGAAAAAGTGCTCCTGCCTAGTCACAGTCTAAACGCATTTGCAAACAATTCTGTGCGACACTTCCACTTATATTGTGCTTAGCTTGGCGGCATTTTCACATTTTTCAATAGTTTTCACAAAATTGAAAAAGTGCTCCAATAAACAGTCTAAACGCTCTTGCAAAAACATTTGTACCAGAGTGGTGCTTAGACTGTGCTTAGCCTGGGTCATTTTTCCAATTTTTAATCCAAAATTACATAAAATTTTTTGGAAAAAAAATTAGAAACGATTTTTTTTCCCGAAAGCAATTATTTTGTTGAAACAAGTAGAACGTTCTTTGAATCAATTAAATCGGACGCTTAGTTATCTCAAAAACTGCCATTTTTTTAACATTTAGCTCTGTATCTCCAAAACTGCTGGGCCTACCTTTGCCAAAAACTAATAACAACTTTTCAATTACAAACAAACTCAATGTTTTTTCAATCATACAAATCGGATGATCTGTTCTCTTAAAAACTGGATTTCTATTGTCTGCACTCTTTGCTCCGTATCTCCGTAACGGCTGGACCTACCTTTGCCAAAAACTAATCAGCACATCTCCCTATTAATAGGAATCGAATGCTTTTTAAAAATGGTTTTTTGAGCCATTCAAATCGGTTGATCCGTGCGCCCGAAAAGGTGGACAATTGTAAATTGTAAGGTGTAAATTAGGCAACTATTTTTTTGAAATTGAATTCGAAATGAGATAAATTGATTTATGATTTACATTTTATTCGCTCAGATATAACAAAATAGCAAAAATAATAAAAGTTACAGTATTTGTAATAATATATTTGTTTAAAATTTCTCGAATATTTACGGTACATTACGGTACGGGAAGTCCCAGCAATTTGCCTCAAGGCACGATGCCATACACCACTAGTTATAATTTCTAAGTGGAATAAGTTGTAATAAAATGTAAATGTGCCTCATAATGATAATGATAATGATAAATTCGATTGCATAAATTAAAAAGTGTCGCCCTTTGTATAGTCGACGCGGTTCGCCGAACACTCGACGACGGACGTGCACCTGGATGGACGTTGGATGGATACATTTCTGTGGCGGCGATACATTTCAATATTCGAGGTAATTGCCGCCAACGCTAATTATATATCGTATACTAAACTTATATATCGTAATTTTCGAGGACGCTCAGCGTCCTGCCCGGTTGGCAGGTTAAGGGGTTACGCCACTGTAAATATTTCGAAAAAATAAAAAAAAATAGGCTTAAAACATACCTAAAACTTTCCTTCTTACTTGTAATTATGAGCTGTTTCCAAGGCGCGTGGGACTTCTCCTAAAAGCATTTTTAACTAAGGTAACCATATTTTTTAACCATCTAAGGCAAGTGATATAGAGCTAATTAGTGAATTTACTGTCTATATTAAATTGTTTCCTTTGGTAATTTTTCTTCAATCTCTTCGAGTCCTGGCGAATGGCACTCGCAATCGTCGCTCATTTTTCCCTTTGTGCGAATTCACGTGTGCGTGAACTAATAATAATAACGACCGGCGATAATAATAATTGTCGACGAACAAGAGCTGTCAATGACACGAACAAATTTATACAAAAGGCGCAAGTTCAAAAAAAATAAATAAAAAATTCGATGATCACACGAAATGGAATCCGATTCAATTTTTCATTCGATTCGAACGAAATGATTGCGATCGTGATTCGTGAGTCATTTACCCCGTTCGACTTCCGCTTTTCATGGTAAATTGACTTCCTGGCACTTTTTAATTCGTACGAGGACAGAAAATTAGTATGTAGATGATGTTCATATATGTACCTAGTCATATTTTCAATGACCATTTAGGAACAAAGTACAAACTAGTGGGGTGCATGGCATCGTGCCTTAAGGCAAATTGCTAAAACTTTCCGTACCAAAAATTATTTTTTATTAAACATTTTTGAAAAAAAAATTACTTCGATAAAATTAGATTTTTGAGAAACTTAGAATTTTTGACAAAAATTTACTTTTTTTTGACAAAAAAGATTTTTTGATAGAAAATATTTTCTTTATTTTGAAATATTTCGGAAATTCTGAACTTTTATTCAAAGCAATTGTACCGCTTTAACTGGATAGAGACGAAATATCGAAGCGTGTAAGCGCCGCGTCGCCGTCTAACGGATAAACACTATTACGGAACCCATAGGAATGCAAACAAAATTTATACTTATTGTTAAAATCTCTATAAAATATCTGATAATTTGATGTGCATATGTCTAATGATCATTTTTAACCGCCAAATGGCATTTTTTTTTTACTTTTTGTACCAGATCTCCGAAGCCACTAGACCTCCCTTCATGAAACTTTGATCAATTCTTTATCTTGTCAAAACAAGTAAAATGTTTTTTGAATTATTCAAATCGGACGCTCCGTTCTCTTAAAAACTGAGTTACCGTTTTCGGCACTTTTTGCCCCGTATCTTCGAAACGGCTAGACCTGCCTATGCCAAAAACTAATCAACACGTCTCCTCATCAATACGAATCGAATGTTTTTTGAATAATTGAAATCGATTGAACCGTGTTCCAGAAATCGTCGACGAAAATTTGTATCCGCACACACACACATACATCATTTTTTTCTAAGGTATGCCAAAATGCTCAGAAACATCTGAAATATAAAAATATATAAAAATTTTCATTTTCGATTAATTTTTTATTCGAATTTTTCATTTTCGATTCGAATTAATATTTGTATACTTAAATGATTTATTTTAAGCTTCTATTAAATTATGATAATTTGCAAAATTCACCAATCCAGCAATTTTCCTTAAGGCACCACTAGTTCCTTTTCTATCTACAAATTCAAAATTCAATATCATCGAATAGCTAGTATTGTGCCTGCCTGCTTAATGACGCGTGGTTTAGTATTATATGATCAATTTCGAATTTAATTTAAATTTTATTTTAGGAAATTACTTTCTCCTCTTTGACAAACAAAAATCGAAAAATCGAACAATGCGCCTTTTATAGCGATTCTTTTGTTGATCGACTCTTTTCATCCGATTGCGATGATGATGGTGCATGCAAATGCAAATGCATTTTTAGATTTCACCGTGAGAAAAAAAGCAGTTCGATTCGATAATATAATTAACTTCCCGAAGGAGAAGTTTATGTTTTCATCAAAAATCCGATTCGCTAATTTTATGTTTTCTCGACGTTTCAAGCCATTCTGAATCGAATGAGACCAAATCTGGAAAAAGTATGTGTGTGTGTGTGAACAGATTTTTTGCCGTAAATCGACGTTTTCTCGAAAACGGCTGGGCCGATTTCAAAAGTTTAAAAGCCGTTCGATGTATCTCGACGAGGACCATCGTTTGTCAGTTTGTGGGACTTTTATCGAAGTTTTCTCAAAAACGCCTAAACCGATTTCAAAAGTTTAAAAGCCATTTGATGTATGTCAATGAGGACTATCGTTTGTCAGTTTTGTGCGGTGATCTGCCAAGCCGTTTCTTTGTAATTTGGAAAGACTAAATACCAATACCAACTAGTTTTATAAAAATCATAAAAATAAACTTAATCTAATTTTTCTGTCTTTTAATCTAATTCTGGGTAATAAATGTGCCAGCAATTGCTCAGGTTTTCATAATAAAATTTTCCATATTAAACATATTTTGTCTATACATGTACGTATAAACACTTCTGTTCTCCTAAACTAAAATTATTTCAAATGCAATTTAACGTTTCCAAGAAAAACGTCTGCGTATTTAGTAACAAGAATAATTTAAAATCATATCAGAATTTGTGCACATGTGTGAAATGCAAATTCATAGAACGATACAAACCAAAATTCCCAAAACATGTTCCAGAAAAAATAATTTTTTAACAATTCAAATTGAAAAAAAAAGTAAGATATAAAAATATCACAGTGTGTAAAATAATTAATGTATATAAAATTCTTATTAAAATCATGACAGCGTAACAAAAACACAAAACCGATGGCAGTTTGACACTGCTCCCGTTTTCGATTGCATTGTCCTCTTTATTTTTTACACAAATCGTGTCGCCCTCATTTCCATATGGATTCATAAAATAAACAATTACGGAATTAATTACTATTCAGCAGACACACAATTAATTAATTCAATCGCTATAGTACGGGGATAGATCTAAATAAAATCACTTTTAATTGTTAACAACAATGCGAAAAATGGTTTCATTTTTATTCAGAAGGCA